CCATAGCCCTGTCTGTCTTGGCGTCACAGGTCCACATCTAAATGTTTCTTTAATGTTATGACGGTTTCTGTCCCTACCATCCTTACAGGCAGTGAGTTCCAGATTCAAACACCTTCTAGGCGAAAATGTTTTTCCTCACATCTTCTCTAAACCTCCTGCCCCTACCTTAATTCAGTGCTCCCTGGTCATTGATCTCTCCACCAAGGGGAAAAGTTTCTTCCTGTCTACTCTATCTGTGCCTGTCATAACTATATACATCTCAATTGTGTCCTCTCCCAATCTCCTCTGCTCTGAGGAAAACAACCCCAGTCTGTCCAATCTCTTTTCATAACTAAAACTCTCCAGCCCAGGCAACATCCTGGTAAATCTCCTCTAACCATCTCCAGTGCAATCACATCTCTCCTAGAATGTGGATTCCAGAACTTATGTCCACAACAACCAGATTTGACCAGTTAAGATAGCATGTGACTTTCTAAGTAATCATAACTTCAACATACAAAGATGTGGACAAGAATCAGGAGCAGGCTATTCGGCCCCTTGAATGTGCTCTGCCATTCCCATGAGATCAAAATGACCCAACTGTGAACAAAAATTGACATTCCCACCTATCCCTGATAAACTTCCACCCCCTTGTTTGCCAAAACTTTTGGCGTTTTGGTAAGGCAAATAACAGCAGGACTCATAATGGTAGGGTCATGGTGAATGTTGGTCAGTGTATTGAGTATGGGAGTTGGGAGGTCATATTGCAGCAATACAAGACATTGGTGGGCCACTTTTGGAATACTGTATTCAGTTCTGGTCTCCCTGCTATAGGAAAGTTGTTGTGAAAGTTGAAAGAGTTCTTACCCATTCCACCAGCCCATCGATATAGTCTGCGAGTCTGTCACTTTTTTCTTTTTGCTTTCCTTCCTAAACCCCTCCATAATTCTGAACAATTCCACATTTTGGTGAGATGGACAAGGGCAGGACTTGCACAGTTAACGGTAGGGTCCTGAGGAGTATTATCAAACAGAGACCCAGGGGTTCAGATACATAGTTCTTTGGAAGTTGTGTCACAGGTAGACAGGGTGGTGAAGGAGGCGTTTGGCACACTTGCCTTGATTGGTCAGTGCATTGAGTATAGAAGGTGGATGTACAGGACGTTGGTGAGGCCACTTTTGGAGTACTGTGTGCAGTTCTGGTCGCCCTGCTATGGGAAAAATGTTATTAAATTGGAGATGGTGCAAGAAAAATTTACAAGGATGTTATTAGTACTGGAGGGTTTGAGTTGTAAGGAGACATTGGATAGGCTGGGGCTATTTTCCCTGGAGCATTTGAGACTGAGGGGTGACCTTACAGAGGTTTATAAAGTCATGAGCGGCATAGCTAAGTTGAATAGCAAAAGCCTATTTCCTAGAATAGGGGAGTCAAAAATTGGAGGGCATAGGTTTAAGGTGAGGGGAGAAAGATTTAAAAGGCACCTAAAAGGGCAGCTTTTTAATGCACAAGGTGGTATGTGTATGGAATGAGCTGCCAGAGAAAGTGGTGGAGGCTGGTACACCTATAATATTTAAAAGGCATCTGAACGGGTACGTGAATAGGAAGGGTTAAGAGGGCTAGGGCCAAATGCTGGCAAATGAGACTAGATTAATTTAGGATATCTGGTCGGCATGGATGAATTGGACAGAAGGATCTGTACAACTAAGACTAAGACTCCAGAGGGCATAATTTTAAGGTGAGAGGAGAAAAATTTAAAGGGGACCCGAGGGGCAACTTTTTCACACAAGAATAAAAACAAAGTTGCTGGAAAAGCTCAGCAGGTCTGGCAGCATCAGTGGAGGAGAAAACAGAGTTAATGTTTCGGGTCTGGTGACCCTTCCTCAGAACTGATGGTGGCTGGGAAAACGTCAGTTTATATGCAGAAAATAGGGAGGTGGGTGGGATAGGGAGTAAACAATAGGATAGAGCCCAGAGAGAGAGAAAGACAGTCGGACAGACAAAGGAGTTGCTAACGATCAGGCTGGGAGGGTGAGTAGTTGTTAATGGGGACTGTTAGTGACTAACAACAGGGGGTGTGTAGTGGCAGGCTATGTGGTAACACATGTGGTTTCACGCAGACTGTGGTTGATATGTGGAATGAACTGCCAGAGGAAGTGGTAGATGCAGGTACAACTTTTAAAAGATTTGGACAGGTGCAAGAAATGTTTAGAGGGGTATGGGCCAAGTGCAGGCAAATGGGACTAGTGTAGTTTGGGAAACCTGGTTGGTATGGACGAATTGGACTGAAGGTTAGAATTTCTGTGCTGTGTTACTCTGTGACTCTATGGCCGTATAACTGTTACCAGCCACCCTTTAACAGTCTCTGTTCTAAAGAGAACACCTCCAGCCTCTCCACAAATCTCCCATTTCTGCTGCCACCCTCATCAATCTCTCCCACAGCCTTTCCGAAGTCTTGGTATTCTTCTGAAAAATCCGGTGCTCAGAATTCAACACCATACTCCAGATGAGATTGGTCTATAGGTTTTAAAAATTAACATAACCGTTTGTGTCTTGTGACTTTAAATTTGTAATGCCAACGACCCCGAGAGTTAGTTTTTTTTTAACAGATTCCTCTCCTTGCCTTGCTGCCTTCTAAGATGTAACTAAATAGTCTCTGGGATTTTTCTCTTCCTTCTCGCCCTTTAAAATTGTACTGTTTTGTTTACAATGTCTATCCTCAATCCCCCTAGAAAATGCATCAATTCAGAGCTCGTTTATGTGAAATTTCTCTGTCACATTCTGCACCATTTCACCAGTTTGTCCCGGTCTTCTTGAAGTCTGTTACAATCCTCAGACTGAGTGTTGGGCCAGCTACAAACTTTAGAATATGTTTGAGCCCAAGTTACTCATATACAGCTGAAAAAAGGACACATTTTGTCAAAGGATTTCGAATAAGATTCATCAGGACATTTACAAGAATTACGAACTACAAAGGGGATGAATGTTTTATGCTGTATGAGAAGAGAATACTAATTGATTGGCAAGTGGACTGTGATGATTGAGACATTACTGTGGAGAATGCACCAGTTAGGGGCAGCATTGGTAGTTCAGTGGTTAACACTACTGTCTCATAGTGCCAGGACTTGGGTTCAATTCCAGCCTTAGGCAACTGTGAAACCTCCACACAGATGTTCTCCCCATGTCTGTGTGGGTTTCGTCTGGGTGCTCCGGTTTCCTCTCACAGTCCAAAATGTGTAGGTTAGGTGGATTGGCTAAATTGCTCATAGTGTCAAGGGATGTGCAGGCTAGGTTGGTTAGACATGGGAAATTCAGGGTTACAGGGATAGGGTAGGGGGATAGGTCTGGGTAGGATGCTGTTTGAAGGGTTGGTGTGGACTTGATGGCTGAATGGCCTGCTTCCCTACTGTAGGGATTCTATGAGTTGCATTATGATTGACAGTTAACTTCCAAGCTTTGGTAAAATGGGTTGATGCTGATTTACTAAGGCATTTCCTTGAGAAATGATCCAGAGAATGGGCTGTCAGCTGTTTTGTTGAGTTGAACAAGTTTAGTGTGTGTACAGACTCTGCCTGTCTGCAAAGAACAGAACCCTGCTCATTAACACTTGTAGCATCCAGTACACATACGTGCACTGCACTGTAAGCCCGACTGGCAATTTTAAATTGGTGGTCTGCATAATTCTTAGCACACTCTGGATTGTTTCACAGACAATGTCCAATTGCAGAATCACATCTAATCAAAAATCAAACAGTAACTCTAAGTTTCATTCATTTTTCCACAACATGATTATGATATGACAATAAATGAGGCAGAGGTTTTAATTTTAAAATGTAGAAGAACATGGGACTGTAATGAAAGTTCCTGCAGTAAATGTGATGTCTGTACGCCAGAGGGAAGACCCTGGAGGAAACAGTGGATGATATCATTAGAATTCAACTCCCCAAACTGAAGGAGATGATGGCAAACCGTGAATTTCACATCGATAACATTGATGTATTCTGTGAAAAAGGAGTCTTTGACCTGGATTCCACCAGAGCTATATTACAGGCTGGCAAAGAGATGAAACTCCAGATTAATTTTCATGGTGATGAGCTGTATCCAATGCATGCAGCAGAGGTAAGGTTGGACATTCAGTGGAAGTCTGCGATAACATGGATGTTATTGTCCAAAATGTGAATTGCAAATCTGTTCCAGTGCAGGAGAAGTTTATTTTTCATCAAATCAGTGAGGTTCGATGCAACAGTAGTTAATTAATCTGTTTCAGCAATGAAGCAAATCAAGCATCAAAACAATTGACCCGATTCTTGTTCATTAGGCAGAATTAATGCTGTAAAATATGCCCCTCACGGATCAATCAAAACTGGACACCAAACCACAGAAAGAGGTTTTAGACGAAGTCATAAAAAGTGGGTGAACAAAGTCAGTGTGAAGGAGAATGTTAAAGGGGAAAAGAGAGAGCGAGAGACTGAGAGGTTCAGGAAAAGGAATTCTAGAGCTTGGAGGTTTCATAGCTGGCAGAGGTGAAGTGGGAAACGCTGGAGCTGGGCAGGAAGCCTGAACTGGGGGGCACCGGAGATCTCAGAGAGTTATAGTGCTGGAGAGAGAAAAAAGAATGGACTTGGAATATAGGAATTCAGAGTGGGAGTGAGCAATTCAGCCCCTCAAGCCCACTCCACCATTTCACATGAACTGCTGATCTTGTCATGATTTCAACTCCACTCTCCTCCCTGCTGCACATAGTCCTCTATCCTGCTTGTCAACAAGAACATTTCTATTTATTTTTTAATCTGTTGGTTGATTCTGCCTCCACTGCACTCTAGAGCAGTGAGTTCCACAGATTCTCCTCACCTCAGTTTCTCACTCTATATCTATGACCTCTTGTTCCAGACTGTCCCAGAAGGGAGACCATCTGTTCAACGTCCACCTTATAAATCCCTTTTAGCCTTTTATATACCTCAATCAGATCCCCCCTCATTCTTCTGAACTCTAGTGAGTACGAGCCTAACCTACTCAACTGCTCCTCATACGCCAACCCTGTTGAATGGTGGAGCAGGCTTGATGAGCCGAACAGCCTACTGCTGATCCTTTGGTCTTAATCGGAGAGAGTGGGAGGGATGAGAGAGATGGTGATGGGGTGGAGCTACATAGAGGAAGCAAACACATGAAAACTGAAGCTATCTTCTCTGATGTTACAAAGGGGCAGCATGTAGATGCGATAAAGGAGAGAGTAGACAGTAGCTAAGGTATAGGACAGAGCCAAGCAAAAAGTAAAGCAACTTATTTGACCCAACAAGAGATTTAGAAGCTTCTAGGATAATATACATAGGTCCCTTGAATCTTTATGTTCCCAATGCAAGGGTGAATCAATGGGGATATCTTTAATCAGAAAAGATAGCTGCAAGGAAAGTCATGAGCTGACAGCAGCTATTGGTCCCACACTACCAGTCCCTACTTCAGTCTGGTCTCTTCCTTCTTCACTTCAGGAGGTTCTCAGTGATGCTGTGGAATCTCGGATATCCACTTTGGAGGGTGGTGTTGTTGTGCAGTGCATCTTTATTAAGGCTCATTGACACAAACGATGGCCTTACGAACGCATCAGAAACTTTCATTGAAGAATTTGCAATTTACGATTTCAAGAAAGGCTTTTGGTGACTGATGGCCAGGGTGGGGGCCTCGATTCCTGTAGAGGTCCTTGGTGGGGGGTGGGTGGGTTGTATTCTTTTGACCCTGTGCGGAGATGGTGCTGTGAATTAATGCTGGATGGGGATTTCTAATGCAGCATGGTCTGTATCTAATACGTTTGCCTTCCTCTCCATAGCTTGGTGCTGAACTTGGTGCTCTTGCCATAAGTCACTTGGAGGAAGTGAGCGATGCTGGGATTGCTGCCATGGCAACTGCAAAATCATGCGCTGTGCTCCTCCCGAGCACTGCCTACATATTGAGGTATTGTGTGTCTAAATGGGTTAGGGGGAACAGAAAGATCGATGAGTAGAGATTCACAAATCATTAAAAATGCAAAGGCAAGTTAACAAGGCGATAAAAAAGGGAAGCAAAATTGGGGACATAATTTCTGTAGAAATAGATTTGAAAATTTACACACACCTTACATACATAGGTAGTTGGCACTTGGTAATAGAACCAGCACGGGTATGGTGGGCCAAATGGCCTGCCATGGCACCATAACAATTCATTGATCTTGGTTAAATCGTCCTGGTAGTCCTCTGAAAAGCTCAGAAAGGATATAAAGCCATGAGGCAAGATGCAACAAGGATTGTCAACATTAGACTAGAGCAAGCAGCAGGATCATCGGATAGAGGTCTTTAGGTTTGGGAAAGTGCTTGATAGAGTAGACCCAGAGAACATGTGGGTGGTGGAGGGGGCAAGTCCAAAACTAAAGGCCATGAGTATGTGACAGTTCTAATGAACAGGCAATTCAAGAAGTAATTTCAGTGCCCAGAAAGTGGTGGCAATATGAGACAAGGAGGAATGGGTACATTTCAAGAGGAGGTTAGAGGAGTGTGTGCGGGAACAAAGAAGAGAAGGAGATGCTGACTGGGTGAGCTTAAAAGAGCTGTGAGAAGACACTTGTGGAGCAGGATAAAGGTGTACGGTTGGCACGGTGCCCCGTGCCCTTCACTGTCAAGTGTACCAGCTCTGGTTGTCAGCTGAAGGAAAGCTAAAGCTCACTTGGTTCAATAACCCACTGGGAACATACAGCTCACATCACTTTGGTTTTCAATTTCTCTGAACCCCACATGTCCCACACCTCGAGTGAGGTCTCCTTCCATGTTGAGGGGCCTCCAGATTCTTGCTTCTCACATCCTGCCTTATACTAGCAACCTGTTTACGAGAGGCCTCAGAAGGGTGCCCCGTTAGAGGTAATACTGAGCCTCCTCTCAGTGCCTCCTCAGTCTGCCAGCTGGGATTTGATTCATGTCTGACCTGTGCCACCAGTCAGGTGCCTACATTGCTCTTCCCAACTCACGGAGTGTAGGCTGTACAGGGTTTTAATTCATACATACGCTCCCTGCACTAACTGCAGGGGTCCATTAATGAGAGTAGTCAGTACATCCAGTGAAGTGGCTAAACAACTCAAGGGAAACGATCAAAGTTGAACTGAAAGCTTTAGGTTAACTGACTTTCAATTCCTCTCCTTTGACTGAGTAACGTTAGGGAAGTCCAAACAATTATTTAACTCCCCTTTGTCTTTGTCACCTTATCTTTTAATATTTAATGTAACGCATGACCTTAAGCCAACTGATAAGGCTGGCATTTTTATAGCACCGGGTGGAAGCTGAGGATGTCTCAAAGCACTTTGCCAACGATGGAAGAATTTTTGGCATGCAGTCACTGGCACACTTTGCAGCCAATTGGGCACAGCAAGCTCCCACATCTAGGACTGCGATAATGATGAGGTGATACTGTTTGAGAGGGAATATTGTACACAGTTCACAGGGGAACCTTCTCTGTGTTACTCTGAATGTAGTCATGGGGTTGCGGAGGAGAAGTCTTCAAGACCCTGAGAGGGTCCTGGATGGTGAGGCTCACTTGGTGAGGGGGCAGCTGCCCGCTAAACCAACATGTGCCGTCTTTTGGTTTTGATGGAAGGAAGCGAGCAGCATCAAGTTCCCCTCACCCAAGGCCAGTCCCTAGTGATGGCAGGAGGTAACTGTGTGCAGAATAAGTCAAACAGAGCAGGACACCTCCTCCCCACCACCCCCCAACCCCCGGCTGGCCTCAATGGACGGGAGAATTTTGGGAGTTGCACCGTTCAGATTTCTCCACGGGGGAGAGAGAGGGGCAGTTACGGCTCTGCCCCATGACTTGAGCTCAGGTGTGACCAAAGTGCCCAGCAATAAATCACCATTTTGGCATGATGCTAGAGGGCACCAACACTCACACCCCAACATGATTCATTCTTAGTATGGGTGTGTTGCTGGATCACCTGGCATTCTTTGCCCAGTTGCCCTGGAGAAGTTGGTAGTGAGCTGTCATCTTGTACCACTGCCACCCGTGGGCTGTAGAAGCGCTCACCATCCTGGTTTTGAAGGGAGTTCCAGGATTTTGACCCATGATGACGGAGAAAGAGCCAATGCATTCAGGATGGTGCGTGGGCCACACAGCCTGGTGTTCCCATGTATCTGCTGTGCTTGTTCCTCGAGGTGGTAGAGGTCAGAGGTTTGGAAGGTGCTGCCTGAGGATCCTTGGTGAGTTACTACAGTGAATCTTGTAGGTGGCCCACACTGCTGTTCCTTGTAACTGTCGGGTTCAGCAGTCAGCGTATTACACTGTAGGCAGCTTCTACAGTGTCCCCTTTAAGATACAGGACACCATGCAAAATCATTTAAAGCTACCATGTAATCAAATGAGTGGACTGCAGACAGCAAGAGGCGAGGCCAGTCTAACAATGCTCCACCAATGGAAGGATGGGGCATTCAAGAGTCGTTAGTAATGTCCTGGATGGTGTCATCAATGTTCTTGCAGTGCCTGGAGCCAATGGGATTGGCTTCCAGGAATCCTGGAAGAGAGGGTTGTATGCTTAAGGTGGGAAATGCCAGGCTCCACACATACACTTACACAGAGGCATACACACAGGCAAACACACACACGCTCAGGTACAGGCTACATAGCACCAGTTATTTGATAGATTTTTGGTAGGCAAGGAACCATAGTCTAGAAAGGAGTGTTAACATCTCTCTCCAGTAGAGAGAGGCAATTGGTCATGTACAGCTTCAGGGTAATGTACCACAAGTGTGGGGCAAGGTAAGGAAGCAGGACTTTCATAATCTACTCCAGCCAGCACAGGACTGAACCACCACTGTTGGCATTACATTATTAATAAGGATGAGTAGGCCATTTGGCCCAATGTGCTTGAGATTCATTCGGATCATGGATGACCTCAGTACCATCTCCCCACATTCTCGCCATATCTGATATCTGATATCTTCATGTCCAGAAATATAAAGTTGGTTGGAACATTTCACACTAAAGAGATTCAGAGGAGGTCTGGCTAACACAACATGTGCACAATGCAACAAAAACAAAGACCTTGTCTGCCTTCCGCAGGGACCGTTCCCTCCGTGACACCCTGGTCCACACTTCCTTCACCCCCAACACCTCCCCACAGCCCTATGGCACCTTCCCCTGTAACCAGCGAAGGTGCAACACCTGCCCATTTACCTCCTCCCTCCTCACTATCCAAGGGCCCAAAAATACCTTCCAGGTGAAGCAACACTTCACCTGCACTTCCAAGAATCTAGTCTACTGCATTCGCTGCTCACAATGTGGTCTCCTCTACATTGGGGAAACGAAGCATAGACTTGGCGACCGCTTCGCAGAACATCTATGTTCTGCTCGCAAAAAAGACCCTGAACTACCTGTTGCCTGCCACTTCAATACACCACCCTGCTCCCTGGCCAACATCTCTGTCTCCAGCTTGCTACAGTGTTCCAGTGAAGCCCAATGCAAGCTGGAGGAACAACATCTCATTTTCTGCTTGGGGACCCTACAGCCCTCTGGACTCAATATTGAGTTCAATAATTTTAGGGCCTAAACTCTCCCATGTCCCAGCCCCCCACCCCACACACCAGGCCTTGTTACCACATAGCCTGCCACTACACACCCCCTGTTGTTAGTCACTAACAGACCCCATTAACAACTACTCATTCTCCCAGCCTGATCGTTAGCAACTCCTTTGTCTGTCCAACTGTCTTTCTCTCTCTTTGGGCTCTATCCTATCGTTTACTCCCTACCCCACCCACCTCCCTATTTTCTGCATATAAACTGACGTTTTCCCAGACACCATCAGTTCTGAGGAAGGGTCACCGGACCCGAAACGTTAACTCTGTTTTCTCCTCCACAGATGCTGCCAGACCTGCTGAGCTTTTCCAGCAACTTTGTTTTTGTTCCTGATTTACAGCATCTGCAGTTCTTTTGGTTTTTATGTGCACAATGCAAAACGTCTATGAAAATGAAGCTAAGGTTTGTGTGTGTGCATGTCTGCCTGTCTCTGTCCGTATGTGTGTAGGTGTCTGTGCACGCACGCATGTATCTACCTGTGTGTGTGTGTGCACGTGTGCGTGCGTTTGCATGTATCTACCTGTGTGTGTATGTACCTGCAAGTGTGTGTGTGCATCTGTGTGTATCTACCTGTGAGTGTGCATGTGTGTGTCTATTTGTATGTA